TCTCATTCCTCACAGGGCAGCAATGAGTGGAAAGAGCAGAGCTGGGAGTCAAGAGCAGACATTGTCTGAGCTCTGCCATGATCCAATCCTAGGTCCTTGGGTAAGTCACTTCATCCAGTGGGTTGATAAAGGTTGACCATCTGTAAATTGGGGACAGCAGTGCTTGTCCCAGCTACCAAACAAGGTTGTCTTTGGCGCACATGTGAGATGGCCTAAGTGTTCAGAGACTTTAGTTCTGACTCTAAAGATTTCTTTTGTAAGTTAGTAGCTAGGAATCCAGAGACATTTTCCCAGAAAAACAGTATTATACCTGGTAGTGAGGGTCCCAGCCTAATGTGATACAAATCTGTTTAAAGACCATGTTTCTGAAGTATGACACATAGTAACCACCATTACCACCACAGGATCGGACAGGTGTGCACTCTGAGTGGCAAGACAAGGGGCCCTTGTACCAGGGTAAAGAGAAACAGAAAATGGGGGCTGGACAAAAAAGCGGCAGAAGGAAGGGTACAGAGGCTCTAACGGGGAAGAAGGAGCCCAGGGTAAACCTGCGAGGGGCCTTTACGAATGTAGGGATTTGTTGGGTGATAAGCTCTGGCTTTGGCAAGTCTTATCTACTAATTGCTTACTGTCACCTCCCAGCTCATGTCTCCTCCATTCCTTCTGCTCTCTCTGCCCCTATTCTGTTTCTGAAGTCTTGAAGGCACACAAGAATACAGACAGCACTTCCCTGACACTCAGAAAGGATCCCCTTTCTCCACTTAAATGACTAGTGACTCTCTATAAAATACACCAATATATGATACATAAACACACAGTGTAGTAGCAGGAGAGCCCTGTGAAAGACAGGAAAGGTACATCCATGGCTGTGGGCTGGTCAACTGAGTGCGTTAATCTTAGGGGATCCCCTGGAAGACTTAAAGGAGGCTCCTTGACTGTTTTTCTCTGAAAAAAAGGCCTTTGAAATCCAACTTTTCAAATCCCTGCTTGAATTTCCAGCAATCTACTTTTCCTGACTGTAACCAGAAAAGCATGTTTAAATGAACATGAAATTCCATCAGTATAAAACCTTATGAAGCTCAGTCCACCAACTCCATCACCAAAGCCGCTAATAATGCCCTATTGCGTTACTGTGGCAGTCTGGGTTGTCATTATGAAGTCTTTTGCTCCCGGTAGAGAAAACATGATGTTCCATTAAATGTATAATCTGGGTTCCCTCCAGGCCAGAGATGCACCCTGCAGAAAGCTGAAATGGGCTGAGATTCAATGTCATGGAAACAAAGAGAACCATCCACTGGGAAAAAGGGCATTGAGGGGTGGGAAGAACGGTGACTTCAGTGCCCTGTGACCCACTGGTTTCAACTTGTAGACGGTGTCATGCTGGCCAAAGGATCTTAGAAGACCAAGGGGAAAATGAGTCAGTATTCTTTGTCTTTCCACTCAGCTGTGGTCAGGTGCTGGACAGCACTGGTTCTTCCTATGACAGAAGACTGTGTTCTTTAGGGCCCATCCAGTGGCCTGTTAGCTATCACTACCTATTCCCCATTCCCCAGCTCTGGGCTCCACAATCACATCTGAGATGGCAAGTTAGAGTTATGCATGCTGTCCTAGCAAGTTCTAGCAAGTTTTTCATTCAGCACAAAAGTATTTCTCTCTTCAAGCAATGGGACAACTAAAGGAAGTCAGAAGACTCCACATAAATGAACGTAGGTGCCTGTCAATATCTCCCTACCATTTGTTTCCTGAAGCACTGTTGGGTCCATGAGATGCTGCAAAAGATCCTATGGTGCATTTAGAAACTTACTCCATGATTAAATATAAAGGAAGCAGCATCCTCTATAATGGCGAAAGGATCAGAGCTCAGCATGCCAGTTAGAACCCTCCTCACATTTGAAATGATTTTTTAAAAACTCAAAGTAACTTATTTTTGCTGAATATAAAAGTAACATGTTCATTGTAGAGAATTTTGAAAATTCAGAAAAACATAACAGAATTCAAAAATCTAGAGAGAAAACTATTACATATTGGGTAAATGACATATGTGTTTTTTAGCTTTTTTCAAAGGTAGAATCATAATGTATATCATGCTTGGTAATCGTATTTTCACCTGAGAGTATATTATGAGCATTAAATATTTTTCCTAAAATATCTCACAAACATACATAGTATGCATATTTAATACTAGGCATTTATCATTCCTTACCTAATAAATCCCCTGTTGTTGGACCTTTAGTTAATTTTCAGCTTTATTTATAAACAACACTGCCATGAACATACATATAGGCACTTCTATGTGACTATTTTGGAATTTTTTCTTTAGGACAGAGAATTGTAAGATGGAAAAGTAGGAACCCATTTTTAAAAAGCATTTGATACATGTTGCTAAATTATCTTATTGTCTTTGCTATCCAGTATGGTAACCACATGTGGCCATTTAAATTTAAATTAATTAAACTTAAAATAAAAAGTCTACTGCCTCAATCACACTAATTACATTTCAAGTTCTCAATAGCCTCCTATGGTTAGTAGCTACCATACCGGACAGCACAGATAAAGAACATTTGGCATTAGAGAAACCTCTATTGCGCAACACAAGACCAGAAAGACTGTACAAATTTATATTTTCCTTAGTAAATAAAATATGACAGTGCCTACCTCTTACAAGTCGGCCAATACTAAATATTGCTATTGGTTAAAAATCTTTGCCAGCTCATTACAAACTACATCTTGATTTTTCATTTCTTTACTAGTAAAGTTGAGCTTTTAAGTTTATTTATTGACTTTGATCCTTTTTTTGTAAATTATTTATATAATAAGCCTATTTCTTATTAGGATGATATTTTAAAAACTACTTTTTATGTATATTTAAAGAGTAATTTGCATTGCAAAAGTTTCTGTAACTTGTTATCTTTTATTTATGGCATTTTTCACTTATACAAGTTAAAAATTGTAATACATTTAAATCTTTCTGTAGTTTTCTCATTGTTTCTGCTCTATTTAAATCTCTAAATCTAAGATTACAGTAATACTCATCTAAAATTTCTTGTAGTTCTTTCATTTCATTTTAAACATTTAGATTTTCAGTCCTGGAATTCATTTTGGTATGTAGTATAAAGTATAAATAAAACCTTTTCTTTTCCCATGTTATCAACGATTTGTCCAAGAATCATTTCTTTTAAAACAACAAATTAATTCCCCACTGATTTGAACTTCCACTAGATGTTTCCATATCCTTGGATCAATTTCTAGATTTTCTACTCTATTCTTTGGCTTTTACCATCTTGTTTTTATTGATTTCCTTCATAATACATTTTAATGTTTAGAGGTATAAGTATTTATTATTTTTTTCCAAAAATGTTTTAACTCTTTTTGCCTGTATTTCCCCCTCTAAGATAAACCTGGAACCATCTTGTTAAATTCACCACCAAAATAAATTATTTCAGAACTTGGATTGAAAAGTTGAATTCAATTTATAAACTGATTTGGGGAGAATCAATTATCTGTACAGTATGGAGTGGAGTCATTCCATTCAGGGACATTGTGAGTCTGTCCATTATTTCAAGGTTTCTTGTATATCCTTCCGAACTGGCTTTAAAAAAAATTTTTTTTTAAGCACAATGATAGACATCTCTGATTATTTTCAGATACAGTCGCTTCATCTGTGAGCTTCTGCTCCCAGCCACTAGAAGCAACAAAAGAAATTCCATTTCTTAGCATTGGAGTATATTTTCAATATCCACCTTCTCATAAATCTGCAAGAAAGATCTCACTTTTCATCCAAAGAATCTGGAGTTCAAAACAGCCTTTACGGAAAAAATCAAACTCTAGGGGCAACTGCAAAGCACATTTGGTTTCTAGCTGGCCAGCTTATTTTGCAGGACTCCTTTTTCCAATTCCCAAATACTTTCCAGTCTGTGAAATTCATCTCCCCTCCACTGTACCAGCAAGCGCCTCTCCTGGCGCTGGGGAGCTCACACAGTTTCAAGGAGCATGCATCTTGTCGGAGGGGCTTTTTATTGTTGAAGCTGTTTTTTAGTAGATAGCATGGAGATTCCTTGAATGGCTGCGGCTTGGCAAATCTAAGGGGATTTGGGAAGTTTAAGGGGTCAGATTCAGCTCTCCCTGGAGCACAGTCCCGAAGCCTAAACACTATCCATTTTCGTACGGAAACCAGGGCTCCTGCACCTCCCTGGTAGCCTACCAGTCAAATCGCCAAGACCTTGAATTCGCTTGCATCACGAGTTCGCAAGCCCAGAGGCTGCTTTTTACACGCGGGGGACTTTTGGCAATGTCCGGAGACATTTTTGGTTGTTTCCCACTTTGGGACTGGGAATAGGGGGAGGAGGGGGGCGAGGGAGGATGGAGGAGGGGTTGCCCTGGCATCTCCACTTGGCGGCAGCGGGTTAGAGACTAGGGATGCTGCTAAACACCCTACAATGCACAGGTCGGCTCCACAACAAAGAATTTCCCAGCCTTAAACTCCGTAAGGCAGAGACTGAGAAATTCACCTAGATTTCCAACAACTGCCCAGTCAGCATGCATTATATTATTAGGAACAAAGGTAATGCATTAGGTTGGACAAAGTTATTTAAAAGGAGCCGACAGACTTTAAACAGCCCACGCCTCTTACTTTAGACGAGCCCGAAAGTTCTGCCTGCCTTTCCTAAGCAAGCTTTTCGCACTAAGGTTTCTACAGCAAAAGAGAAGCATTCACAGAAACCTAGTAGGTCAATAGCATCCTCACACTCCCTTGCACGCTCCTCGGTCACAGAAAGCAAGTCAGAAAAACAGATTGTCTCCGGAACAAGGAGGGACGCCTCCCCTGCGGACTCCGGCAGCGGAGGACGGGAGGCGCGCTCCCCTGACAAAGGCGCAGCGCTGGGGCCGCGGCTGGATCTGAGGACAGGCGGGTCTGTCCCAAAGCCACCCTGCCAGCAAGCCCAGCCGCGGGAGAAAGAATCATCAATTCAGCCTAGTGCGGAACAGCTTAAGGCACTTACTTGTCCAAAATGAAGTACAGGTCAAATCCCCCGTAGCAGGCTGGATCCCCTTCCTCCCTGCGTCCCCCATGCCCGGCACAGATGAGCACGAAAGTGGCCAAGGAGAGACACTTGAAGCCAATGCCGAGGGCTTTCGGCTCCACGGTGGCCATGACCTGCAGCCCAGGGAGAGGGTCGGGTCCTCTCCTTCCCACGCTCCTCGAAGTCACCAGGACCCTCAGGGACGCGCCATCCGTGGGGCCCTCCTCCCGGGCCCTTTATTCCCCCTCGCTCTCCTGAAACTCCCCGGAAGCAATTGTCTGGAGGAGTTCAAGGTTTTCCTTCTAGTTTCCGCTTCGATTCTGTTTCTAGGTTTCAGGTTTCAAGAATCCCAATACTGTACTCCGCTTTTTAAAAAGGAGCTGCTCTGACTCGGGCCCGCCTGCCGCTCCCGAGGCTGCGCTGACGTTTTGCAATTGAAGCAGTTCCGCCCAGACTGTTCTTTGTCCCAGGTTTTAAATATTATGGGGTGGGTTTTTAAATTGTTCTTGCTTGGGGGAGTGCTTAGCCTTTACTCCCTCCTCTCTACCCCCTTTCTTATTTTGATAGGGGAAGAAAGTCCAAAGGGTGCCACCTTGTGGCCCAAAGCACTCTTCGGCGTTCGCGGGAGAAGGATGGTGCAGGTTTTCTTTTTCTCACGCACCTCCCCTCCATCCCCTAATTACTTCTAACTCATTTTTAATTCTCTCTCATTCTCTAGCCTCTTTATCCCTGCCCTATCCTCTCTTATGTCTGCTGATAAGTTCACTGTGAACATTTGATGAGAACTTATTTCCTCCAACCACGGTGGCACCCACCCCAGACTGGGACCTCCGCAAACAAGCCATTGTGCAAATTAAGCAGAGAAGAACGGGGCCTTTGTGATCTGAATCATCCAAGTGACTTTACTGTACTTTTAGCACAGATCGTAAAAGAGACTGCTGGGGTCCAGCCATGTGGCTGAGAACAGCATGAACAGTTCCACAGAGAAGCCTGCTCCCTCCCTTCGTGGAAAGACTGAGCATTCTGCATTATCGTCCTCTCTAGATTTTAGAGATTCAGTGATAGTTCTTTCCAGCCTGTGAACTTCGACTTTTTCACCCTATCTTTGATGTAGGACAAAGGAAATAAGCAGCTTATGAGAGCGTGGATCTTTCAAACAGTTTGGGACAAGCAGCGAAGTCTTTTGCTCGCCTTTCTACAGTGAGGGATCCTCTTTAGCGTGGCCCCTGAGCCCCATTTCCAAGCAGGAACCCCGTTTTAGCTTCATATGTTTTTCACTCCCCGAGTCCTCAAGGTATACTCGTGCTCCATTTTCCAGGATTATTTCTCCCGACGCACATCTTCCCCTCCACTGTGACCCTCTAAGATCCTCATTCCTTAATGTGACCATTCATGGTAGTTTTTCCCCACCTTGTGTATCATGAAATCCTACTGTCTTGGACTAATCCATTAAACAATAATTTTGTTGTCAGGTAAGTTTTGGAGATTCATATTGCATTGCCTTCCTCCAAAGCGATCCTTAATGTTCCTTATTGCTTGATATTCACACACACTGAATAAAACTGATCTGTGTGTTATTTATAAAATATGGCAAAAATGAAGGTGTGTGACTTCTGAGGTTAGGTCATAAAATAAATTGAGGTTTCCTGCTTTCTTGGATCACTTGCTCTGGGAGGTCCACAGCCATGTTGTGAGGTCACCAAAGTAGCCCCACGGAGAAAGTTAATGGGGCAGGAAACTGAGGTCCCCTGCTGATAGCCAGCTTTAGTTTGCCAGCCTGTGAAAGATTCTTCTCTGAAGCGCATTCTCCGGCCCCAGTCAAGCCTTCAGACTGCAGCCCAGGCCTCCTCAGGGGAAACGTCGAGCCAGAGCCACTCTCCACTTCCTGACCCACAGAAATTATAACAAATGTTTATTAGTGTTTTAACCCTCTAATTTGGGGGGTAATTTATTATGTAATAATAACAACTAGCGAGTAAATACCTATTACTATGTTAAAGCTTTGAGAATTTTTTTAGGGAAAGAAAATTGCCTAGCTATATTTGTCAGACCTCCCTGACCATGAAACTGTTCTTTTCAAATAATGCCTAATGACAATCCTACTTTGGGAATTCCTGCTCTCAAAAATAATAATAATAATAATAATTAGGGAGAGATTAAAATACTCTAACCTGCCCAAATCTTCCTTTTCCTTATCTTCTCCCTCCTCAAAATATTGAAAATCCACCTGGGTCCCATTGAAGTTATATGATGAGAAAGAAGTTGGTAAAACCTATAGAAATTAAGTGGGCAAATGAAAACAGAAAAACCAGGGGGGGATTGATTAGAAAAAGAGAGGAATGTGATATAGGAAAACATAGTAGATAGAACATTTGTGAGTGGCAGGATTGGCAAGAAATAGGAATGGGCTTGACTGTGGGAAGGGATTGGAGGGACAGGAGGAGCCAGGGAAGTATGGAGAATGCCTTCTCTCATCCTCATGCTCTAGAGACTTCTTAGGTCTTTCTGAGTTTTAGTGACAGAGAAATGTCAGAGCTTTGCAGACAAAATCACTTAGGAAGTTCTTGTGGAAGGAAATCAGAAGTGTCCTGATAGAGCTCTTCAAAGTTAGAGACATCATTATTTTTTTATTTTTTAAATTTTATTTTTAAATTACAGTTACCATTCAATATTATTTTATATTAATTACAGCACAGTGATTAGACAATTACATAATTTACAAAGTGGTCCCCTGGATAATTCAACTACCCACTTGGCATCATACATAATTATTACAATATTATTGATTATATTTCCCAAGCTGAACTTTACATCCCCATAGAGATGCCATTATTAAAGAGAGGACAGAGCACAGCTCCCAGAGAGGGGAGGGAATCCAATATGAAACAAAGTTCTGGGGGAAACGGAGAGAGTGGAAGAGGCACCCCTGGGACAAAGATGATGCATCAGAGGACAAAGGGGTAATTGGAGGGTTTCAGACCCTTGAATATCCCAGCTGCCTCCAACTTCTAGAAAGAGATCTATTAATACAAGATGACCATTCTGTAGACCTTAAATTGGCTCTACCTCCCTCTCCCTGTAGCCCAGAGAAATCCACTCCAGGCACTTCTGATTAGAGGGTTTTGTGCTAGCCTCACTCACTATGGGGAGGTATCCTCCAAACATGTTCATGAACTTGACATTGGGCTACGGAGATATGGTTATTCTGAAGGAAGTTTGAAGTAAAAAAAAAAAGGGGGGGGGGAGATCCAGAGCTTGTAACAGGAGTTTATGAAGCCCCTGGTGTGATCTTAATGTGGTGGTTCAGCAGGTCTGCAAGAGGAGATATCAGGTTCTTTGAACTGGAAACATTGTTCTTAGGTTGTTGGGATATAGCAGCCTTATAATTAATTAGTGCATGTAGGGAAAAGTCACTTGAGAGTACAAAAGGACCGAAGAAGAGTCTTCAATGGGTTTCTGCTTGTTCCCAGCTAAATTCCCAGATAAATTTTACAGCTCAGAGATATCCGTGTATCAAAATTTCCTTATTTAAATGTTACCATCTTCTCAAGGGATCCCTCAATGCTCTGATTGGACTGAGAGTGTCTGGGCTCCTAATCCTTTCCAAGGACCCCAGTGATCTAGGGGAGATTATTTGGACTCCCCAAGGTCCATAGACATAGATACCTGAGTTTGGGAAGAAACTTCTCTGCCTCTCAAACTCAAGTCAGGGGAAGAACAATATAATGGTGATGTTGAGGCTATGGCTAGATATTTCCAGGACTGGAGAAACACAAAGGCAAATTAAATGCATATGTGGAAGTGTCTGAATGGTAACCTGGAAGTCAAGGCAAGGAAGAAGCAGTCAACGTTGCCACATGCCATGGAAGTGCAGAAGATAAACCCTGAGAGCATCCCATTGTTATGATACAAGTGTCATTGTGTTACCAAGAAGCACTGCAGTGGACTAGTACAAGGGGGTATTAGACTGCATTAGGTTACTGGGAAGGGGAATTTTTCTTTTAAGAAGAGAGAGGGATAAAGGGATATCTTGTAAATGTCTTATTTGCCACAAAGAGGGACCCCAAGACACCTAAAGATGCTAGGAATTTCAAGTTCCCTGACTTCCAAAAGATTGGAGAGTTTGTCTTACTAGACTGACAATCTTAAAACTTTGGTCCTGCACCCTAATTACTGTTCTACCTGAATTTGCCAAGCTTCCTTTTCTGAGATAGAAATTGTTAAATATCACCTACCTGTCTACCAACTGCCAGTGACTCACTCTCCCTTACTTGCCCTCTGCCAACACATGCGACTGAGCATCTTTTGTCAAGTTGTCAAAAAAAAGTTTGCTGTCCTGATAACATTAACCATCTGTTCTTCCAAGAATCTCATTGGGCACTAAAGCACCATTTCAGTTCTTGGCAAAGTTTCAGGAAAATGATTCAGATGACACAGATATCCAAGGAAACTTGGGAAATTTTTTATGTAGAAATACTTGTCCATAATATGAATATATCTGACATTTTCCACCAAATTTTGTGTCAATCTAACTGGTCCAGTGTTTGCCAAGTTCTTGGAGGTCCCACTGATCCTTGGACCATGATGGCGCTCCATAGTCCCTTCAAAGGCAAACCATCATTTAGTAAAAAAAGAGTCTATTTTTATTGTTAAAAGATTTCCTTCATGCTTGTCCTCCATAAAACCTCCATTTGCAAGAAGTCAAGAGAGTATTCCCAGAAACAACTTATCATCTGGAACAACAGGGTTTCTAAAGAATGTGAATCAGCTCACCAATGTCTTTTGGTCAGAGGAAAAGCAGAGGTACTAGTAATAACTTTAAGTCCAGAGGCAGAACCATAGTTTAGAACAATATACTTTGATGGCATTCAATAGGCCAGGTCATTCACAATTTTAGCCCAGAAGCAATCAAAGCCTTATTAATAACTCTATCCAGAGCCCAGCCCATTCCTTGCTTCATTTTAAGGTATTCTAAAAACCTACCCTAAAACCCTGTTAACAGCCACCCAAATGCAGAGATAAAGCGCATTTAACACAGCCCCAGCCCAAATCTGATCAATTCAGAGCCCTGAACAAAATGAGCCAGTTTCATACACAAGTCAATGTCAGCCCAAAGACAGGTTCTGTTTAATGTGGCTCACAACTCAGCTCAGCTAAATCCACAGACTATCTCAGTCCATCGTAGCATGAAGTTTAATCACAAACCCCCTTTTACCCTGGTCCAGCTAGAGACTAGCCAAAGCTGAAAGCCTAGCATTGCAAGCCTTGTGAAGAACACACTCCTATAAAGGCTCAGACAAGAGAATAATCTATAATTCATACCAGCATAACCTAAAATAATCCTCCTCACAAGGAAAAGCCTTGAGAACAAAACATTCGTTTCATCTAAAACAGAGACCAAGCCAACCCACACCGAACCCAGACACGGGATAAAATTGACCAGTATGGT